AAACAACAGCACAGAAACTATACGTCTTGGATTGTAATATTGCTTTAGAAAAAAAACATAAAACAAAAAACACCACACACAGAAAATGTACCAAACACAACATCTGTTCTCTTATATTTGAGAATTTACTTCCTATCTTGCCAAGAGCATAATTTTCAATTTATCAACTCATCAACAAAAGATCATTGAAAACATTTGCAAAATACAAGAAATGTATTACAAACTGGATGGCTACCAACGGAGAAGGCTGATATAGAAACAACAGCATAATTTTCTGACTGGTTCCTCCATGCTACATAAATAGCATATTACTACTGGTATTAAACAAGCATGCCATTTAGTATGCTTAATTATTTTACTCATTGTTGGTAACTGTTTCATTTGGCAAATGATTTGTAATTTTGTTCAGCCTATCTTATGATTTATGAGGGGCGACTGAAAGGTTCTCAGCCTACCCATGAAGTATTGGTCTTAGCCCAATTTTACTTTTGCTACTCATAGTACATTTCTTTGCAAGGTTCTATACCAAATTTCTCACAAATAGCTTTTTCTTTATTTCAGTTATTGAAGACTGAAGCGCAGAAGGTCATCATTGTCTGAAAGATGTATAAAGTGAGCAAACGAGCTGTTATCCAATACCTGCTGAAAAAGGGAAGGAGTGGACAGGACATCCACAAGGACATGATGGAAACATTAGGGGAGGATTCCCTTCCTATTCCACCATTAAAAAGTGGGTGGCAGAATTCAAGAGGGGGAACCCCTCTGTCCAAGATGCCCCTCGCAGTGGAAGGCCAGCAACTGCCTGTATGGAGGAAAACATCACAGCAATCCAGGATCTCGTATTGGCAGAAAGGCATGTGACAGAATGTTTCATCGCAGAGAAAGTGGGCATATCCCAGGAACGCGTTGGACTCATTTTAACAGTAGTGCTGAACATGCACAAGGTGTCAAGTCGGTGGGTCCCAAGAATGTTGACTGTTGAAAACAAACGCGACAGACAGCAGGTATTGGATAACAGCAGGTATTGGATAACAGCACGTTTGCTCACTTTCTCCATCTTTCAGACAATGATGACCTTCTGTGCTTCAGTCTTCAATAACTGAAACAAAGAAAAAACTATATGTGAAAAATTTGGTATGGAACCTTGCAAAGATATGTACTATGAGTAGCAAAAATAATATTGGGTGAGACAAATGCTTCATAGGTAGGCCAAGAACTTTTTAGTTGCCCCTCATACAAGCACAGCCAAGCAGGTGACCTTATTTTTTGGTTTCCGGCTTCCCATGTCTACTCACCACCTCTGGTCTACTCCCTGGACAATAAATCAGTTTTATCTTATAGATGATTAATTTTCTTATAAGTAGGCATGTGGCACAGAAAGCTGAATGAGTACATATTGGAGTATTCCTGGTTATACAATGCAGCAGATGTACAAAGAATTTATTCATTATAGGTTGAAAATTAATCTCTGCAGTACATTGTTTTCCAGCAACACATATATGAATGCTCTTAGCTGCTACACTCACACTCAGTGGCCCCTTAAAGTGGTTGTAAACCTCAGACATGAAATATGAACAAAGCATATCCTTCTTTAGATTGTATTTGTCTCAATTCATAGCACTAAGTGACCTGTCTGTTGCTTCGTTTCTCTGCTATCAGCATGAATCACTTCTAACAAGTTTTCCTGCCACCAAGAGATACAAAGGTGACAGGGGAGTGATCTCCAGCAGATTGACATCTTCAGCTCTGCACCTATGTGCTGTGTGAAGAGGGGTGTGTCTCTTCCCTCCAATCAGCTCTCAGACCTCTCCTCACTGAGCTCTGAAGAGGGTAGTTTCAGCTCTCCACCCGTTTTTTTTCTGAACTCTCAGACAAGCTTGTAAATTCAGCTCTTTGACCAGATGTAGAGAAGAGGAGACTGCATATAGAAAGGTACTGTACAACGTATGTAGGAGAATTTGTTTCATCTGTCTATAACCTGAGGCCAATCACTTTGCTGGGTATATGTAAGGATTTAAAACCACTTTAATCAAGTTTATGCAAATATTCAAACAGTGAATCATATTTGCTACTTAAGCCAGAAGGCATGAATACAATTCAGTGGTACAATGGTGAGAGGGATGTTTTCTTGGACTATGATAAGCCTTGTCGTATCAAATGAGCACCTTGTGAATGTCACAGCATATATTGGTGTTTGCACTCACTCCTTAATGAACATACACTTCCTGGTTTTTAGTGGTGATTATCAAAAGGCTAATGTGCCAAATGGTTCTAGATGTGTGTACAGGGGCCAGTGTGTGTATATTGTTTTTTTAGGCTGAGAAGATATGTCTACATGAAAAATACCACTATTATATAATACCTGTGCACGCTGAGATTAATCTCATAATCTAAAGGAAAGATTCTTGGCCAGTTTTACTCACCATCTGAGTATGATCTTTGATCATTCAAGATCAACTTAAGTTTATTCTGATTCTTTTGGACTTTAAATTAGGCTAAATGGTAACCAGGAAATAACTAGATCATTTGTGTGGTCACAAGGCAACAGTACTCTGAAAAACAGATCAGTGTACGTGGCTTAACTTAGTAATGAAGCATGTTAATTGTTCAGAATTCAGGATAAAGGAACATTTATACAACACTCTAATTCATTTCATTTTGTTTCTGTAAGTATGGTAGCCATTATATACCAGTGCTTGAAACTGTTCCATCACAAATATTCAGACCATCAGGTGACTTTTTTCATTTCACTCTTAATAGGTTAACCCAACTAAAATTCTTATGTCCGCAGCTTACAGTACATTAGCAAGCTCAGTAAGCTGTAGAGAGTTTTAAATAAAATCTCAGTTCAAATAATGATAATGGACAGAAAAGAAACACAGACGGTAACTCCTTATGTTGTCAGGATAGAAGTAAGTGACCCCTACACTGGGGGTCAGGGTAGAAGTAACCCCTTACACTGGTGGTCTGTGTAGGCAGGAGACCAATCTGCCTCTGCTCTTTCATCAAGGAACACCTAGCAACCTCCGGGGAACTCCAGGGTTCCATGCAACCCTAGTAACAAAAGGCTGTCTTTAAGCTAAAAATGCAATCCTGGCTTATATACGTATAATCGGTCAAGAACATGTAATTTCCAAATCTTTCCAGCCTACCCTAATAACATCTTTTATTACCAGCACTGACCTGATAAAAGCATTCTCTTTCCATGCACTGTAAAACTGTCGAATGATTGTGCAGAAATTATTTGGGTTGTGTCACTAACTATGGGTACACATATTTATGGTCAGAAAAGCTGTCCGTCCCATCTATTGGACTTTAAACAGTTGTGAATATGTACTATCACCATTCCAGATAAGAAATATAGCACTAAAAAGTACGGTAAAACACAAAATCGTAAATTATAAATTATATGATACCAATATAATGAAATTGAAAAATATGAAAGTGACCAAGTTCAATGACCTTATCTAATATAGTGACATAAATAGATGACAAGATATAATATCTGCAAAAGTTTAAGGTGCCAGAAATCAATACACGCACTATTGCGTATGGTGAAGTGCAAATGTACGCACTATAAACATATGGTGAAGTATAGATGTGATAAGAACATCCCCAATTGGCATTTCCAGGTGTATTTGTGATTATTAAGGACCATCTCCTGGTCCTCAGCATCAGGTTACTTAAAACATCAGGTCATCTGGTGGGCATCAGGGGGGCAGACAGCACACCATCAGGTAGTATTCGGCACCAAGGATGGATTAGCCACCAGGAGAATCACACTAGTAACTTCAGTCAGGTCACAATGGGTATTCCTGTAGGAAGCCTGCCTCATTGACACAGTATGCTTGGTACACTTTCTTATGGACACCAAACTACCAGATTGTTACTATTTGGACATCATTTATTCATTGTGAGTTTATTTCATCTTTTCATTTTAACCCTGAATAAATTAAAAGTTACTACACTATGGGAAGTCTTTTTGTTTTGGCTCACTTCTGGTGAGTCTTTTCCACAAGGATACCCATTGTGACCTGACTGAAGTTACTAGTGTGATTCCCCTGGTGGCTAATCCATCCTCGGTGCCGAATACTACCTGATGGTGTGCTGTCTGCCCCCCTGATGCCCACAAGATGACCTGATGTTTTAAGTAACCTGATGCTGATGACCAGGAGTTGGTCCTTAATACTCAAATGCGCATTCATTTGCGCTCTCTGGTGAGTGCAATCTATGGCCATTTATTTTATCTTTCACCATCATGGATCTACACAAATCAGAGACTAATCACATATACAACTGGAAACGCCAATTGGGGACGTTCTTATCACATCTATACTTCACCATATGTTTATAGTGCGTACATTTGCACTTCACCATACGCTATAGTGCGTGTATTGATTTCTGGCACCTTAAAATTTGCAGATATTATATCTTGTCATCTATTTATGTCACTAAAATAGATAAGGTCATTGAACTTGGTCACTTTCATATTTTTAAATTTCCTTATATTGGTATCATATAATTTATAATTTACAATTTTATGTGTTTTAACATACATTTAGCGCTGCATGAGTTTTATCTTATCATTGATGAGATTGTTTGAGGTTTACCTGTTTAAAAAGCCAGTTATAGACCTGGGCAGGTGATCAGTTTTTTGCATGTTTGAGGTTTTTACCTTTTCATGCTAGCTGCTCCTTTTTATATGTTTATCCAGCGCTCGTTTTATCTGATTAGATAAGAATTATACTTTTTCTTCAAGTATCATATTTCCAATTTTATATATTTTATAAAGGTTTTGTTTATTGCTTTGATTTCAGAATGTTGGCTTAAAATCAGTTACTGCATAATATAATAAATTAAAATAAAATAAAATCAAAAATCAAAAAGAATAAATCAAAATCAGTTACTGCATCAAATACGAATACATCAAAAAGTAAAAAGGAACAATCATATCTTGGGAAAATCACAATGCAAAGAGAAAATCAACATGCATACTTTACCTTGATTGCAGGTCTTTCCGGTGTAACCAGGGTGACATTTGCATTTATTGGGACCTACACAGTCTCCATGTTTACATGGTGGCTGACAAACAGCTACAGAAAGAAGATATATACAATAAATTTAGTGTTAATAATTGACAAAAGATATAATTTACATAGTTAGTTAAAACAATATAAAGATAAATGTGATCTTAAAATCAAGACTTGAGCTTGCCTAGCATTGCATTCTGTTTCTTCATATAGAGCTTTCCAATAATAACCAAAGCCCATTAATGTAGAACCACTTGCAAATTGTTGAGGATATACTAATACAAATGTTTTTTTATCTTCTTGGATTATTTAGGTGTTATTTGTTAATATTCTCAATGTTTAATTTTTAAGCACAAATTGCTCTCCAAAGTGCCTGGAACGCATACCACAAATAAATTCAAAACTGCTAAAACTGGAGTGATAGTAATAACCATGTTCACACTACTGCATGCATGATATTGGTACAATGTGCAGCAGATGTTGCTTTGACATTCATTTCCAATCGCACCTCAATGTACATACCTGGACCAAGAAATTGCTCCTGCTTCTCAGCACACCGCAACACATGTGATAAAGGACATATGCATAAATTTGCAATATGCTGGGAAAAAATTTAACAGGAATATGTTCATCCCATTGATAAGTGTTAAAAAGTAATTGTACAATTTTATTTTCTATTGGATGATCTCAATTTTAGTTTTGATTATTATTTTAAATAAGAGAGCATTTGTACCTATATTCCCCTTTTGCCAGGAATTCCTTTATTATTCATGTTTAAACACAGTGGATCCTAAAAGTTTGCTGCTGTATCACAAATTATTCCGAGTTTGTGTACCTTATAATTTCTTCAAAAAAGAAGCTGTATTGGAAGCCAGACATAAAACATTGTTGAATCCACACTGACTAGATGGTAAAACTTGAAATAAGTTCTAAGTTCTTTATCATGTTTTCAGTGACAAAACACAAGATATCCCCTAAATATCCCCATAGTAAAAACTAGGGCATGGGTATTTTTATTGTCCCTTATTTGAAAGACTATGCAGCTACCATTATGTGCTTTCCTACAGAATCTATCAGGCAAAATTAAGCAGAAGCAATGTCTACGTTGAATATCATGGAGATAATTGCTGCATTATGTAAAATGGCCTATTACAGCGTAGTACTTTGAGACAGATTTCACATTTTAAAGGAAATGCAGTGGCCAGATTCATTGTTTAATTATCCTTTCGGCACTCTACCTAAAAGTGGTCACAGTTCGGCAGATACCGTGTTAAGAAAGACAAATGGGGAGATGTCTACCTTGGTAGGTGCTTCATCACTTGGCTTATTTAATGTAAGAAGATATTATTCTTAAATGTGGTCATTTTAGAAAAAGGGTAAATTTACGCAAATCAGATTTCTCTCTACCGAAATCAAACCAGCACAGATCAACATAAATAGAAGACCTTTATGCATTCCACCTGGTAGAAGATCTTCAATTTTTCAGCACTACAGTGAACTGCGAAGAATGGCACCATTGCAAGGTCATGGATTTGAGAGACAGTGTAGATCACCAGAACATCATGCACCTCTTTAACTCCTTTAAGCTTATTAGTCACATAATTACAGCAGCAACATTTCAGAGCTCTTAATTCAGCCTCTTCATCAGGTAACAGTAAGGCTGCCACTACTACTTTCTGATGAAGAAGTTAAATTAAAGTGTTAGTAAACCCACAACAGTAAAATCAGTCTGTATATGCAGTATAGCATGCTTGTTATACTCACTGTGGAACCTAAGGATCCTCTGCATTGTGTAAAAAGGCCATTTGATCCTTTCTTCTCTGCCCCTCCTCTTGTTCAAATGTCCATGTCTCATCTCCTAAGACATGCTCAACCCGTAGCCACATGCCCATGCTCAGTTTAGTGTGTATTGCTAGAGAGGTGGGTTTTTTTTCTTGTTTCTTGGGAGAGTGCATGTGATCAGCACAGGGCCAATTAGCACTGTCCAGACAGAGGTCAGGGGGTTTGCATCCTCCTAGAGCAAAAAGAAAACTCCTCCTACAAGCTTTAACCAGTGCTCTACTGAACACTGATAGAAATTACAAGATTGCTCTAACTGCTGATGAGAAAAGGTATTTAGCAGTTTATATTTACTAAAATAATTGCACTTCCATGTTCTGTGTACTGTGGGAGACCAGATATAGTGAATGCAGGGTCCTGGGTTTAGAAACACTTTAATAGCACTGAAATGTTCCTCCTGTATTTACTGTATGTGACTAAAATTTTTTTTTAAAAAGGAGCGCATGATGTGCTGGTGATCCACACTCTCTTCTGGTACAAGAGCAATTCTGCCATGCATGACTTTGTCATACCAATGTATTTATTATTTCCAGGTACTTATATAGCGCCGTCAATTTACGCAGCGCTTTTACATATATATATTGTACATTCATATCAGTCCCTAACCCTCAAGGAGTGTACAATCTAAGGTCCCTAACTCACATTCATACATACACATACTAGGGTCAATTTAGACAGGATCCAATTAACCTACCTGCATATCTTTGGTGTGTGGGAGGAAACTGGAGCACCCGGAGGAAACCCACGCAGGCACAGGGAAAATATGCAAACTCCAGGCAGGTGGTGCCATGGTTGGGATTCAAACTGACGACCCTAGTACTGCCAAGCGGAAGTGCTAACCGCTAAGCCATTGTGCCGCTCCATTATGGCTTATGCCAAAATTGTTTGTGTCAAATACATTAATTGCTCTATAAAAGAATCAAAAATCACTTAGGAAATTGATTAATGAAAATCCTTCTGAAAGTGTCTCAAAAATGTTTGTTAAATATAGCTCAAAGTAAACATTTTTTTTTTTCTGTTAAAAGAACTCAATTTCAAGTCTCCTGATATTGCAGAAGAGTATTCTGCTACTTTACTGGCACATATGCTATACAGAGTGTACTCTTCCAGAATAGCACATGCATGCTGGAGAGCTAATGGCATTTAGAAGTGCACCCTGAAGGCTTATATTTGAGTGGAAAAAGTGCAAACAGCACTAGTTTGTATAATTAAGTTTTAATTTCTTCTTAATTTTTTAATTCCTGATATATTTAATTCCTATATATTTAGATGCAAATACGACACAACAAAGCTGTGATTAAACATAAAAATGAACTGTTTTAAAGGCTTCTGTTTTAAAATGCAGTGTCCCATTTATTGTTTATTTATTTATTACAGGTACTTATATAGAGCTGTCAATTTTACTCAGCGCTTTACATACATATATTGTACATTCACATCAGTCCCTAACCCTCAAAGAGTGTACAGTCTAAGGTCCCTAACTCACATACATACAGATACAAAGGACCAAATTAGACAGGAGCCAATTAACCTACCAGCATGCATGTCTTTGGAGTGTGAGAGGAAATTGGAGTACCGAAGGAAACCCACACAAGGAGTACATGAAAACTCCAGGTAGGTGGTGCCGTGGTTGGGATTTGAACTAACAACCCTTGTACTGCGAGGTGGAAGTGCTAACCATTTAGCCACTGTGCTGCCCCCATTTTATGTATTAAAAACCATCCATCAGAGTTTCAGAAAAAAAATCAAAATGTCACCCACTTATCTCAACCTGTTGTTACAGCATTGAACAGTTCAGCATCCCCCTCCCAAATTTGCATCAAACTTGTGATAGGTGACTGTAGAAAAAAAAAAAAAGAGGGTCCTGAAGCTTCTCCTCATTTGTAGCCTACCTGAGACCACCTGCTAAAGGAAGGAAAAAAAGCAGACTGATGCTCATCACTGGTCTCCCCTTGCCCTGTGTTCCCAGAGTCACACTGACAATGCTATTCAATGCAATAGAACCTGATTGGCTCACAGTGCTGGCCACTCCCTCTTTCAGACTAGGTTGTAGCATGCAGGAGCGAATAGAAGGTTAAAACACATTTCAGATAACTAAAGTGGTTGCATTTTAAATATATTTTTATGGATTTCAGTGAATACAGAACTGGATTAAAACAACAGGATTCCAATCCCCAATATTAATCTAAATGTCAGTTCACATCTAATTATTTGTTATAAAATCCAGCACATTTTACAGTAAAGAAATACAGTGGTGTCATCTCTCCAGCCTGCTGACTGGGAAGTAAAAAAGCAGCAGCAGACTGATGAGATTAAGTCTCTACTCACTCTGCTCTATCTTCCTATCTGCAGGCTTATTGCCAAACCGAGTGTTTCTGTACAGGACATTACAAGAGGCATTTTTGTTTAAAAAATACAATGAATGTTTTATAAAAACATACACAACAGCATTACTGGGTTGTTTATGCAGTAGAGAATGCTAGATTTCACAGTGAATTTTCATTTAAGGTAAAACAAAGTGAAAATTGCCTTTGCGAAGAACACCTAATCATATGCATGAAAATAAAATAAAAATAAATAAACACATTATTTGCATGCATATGATTGGATGATTGAAGTCAACACTATTTCACCTCATTCATTAACCACCTTCCGCCCGACCTATAGTACGACGGGCGCAAGGTGGATCTCTCGTTCTGATAGGACGTCACATGATGTCCTACCATTCTCACTGCGCATGCGCGGCTCAGGGAGCGCACAGCGCGGCGATCGCCGGTGCGCTGTGTCCCTCGGACACAGCAGATCACGGAAAGAGCCAAAGATGTCGGCTTGGTCATGTGATCAGCTGTGTCCAATCACAGCTGATCACATGTAAACACGGAAATGTCAGTTATCGGCATTTCTCTCCTCTCGAGCTGTCACGCTGAAAGCTCGAGAGGAGAGGAGAGCCGGTAATCGGCTTTCCGTGGAGGGGACATGTACACTGATCATCAGGGCACTGATGATCAGTGTGCCCTGATGATCAGTGTGGCCCCAGAAGTGCCACGTGCCAGTGCCCATCAGTGCCACATATCAGTGCACATCAATGCCACATATCAGTGCATATCAATGCCACATATCAGTGCCCATCTGAGCTGCCTTTCAATGTCACCCATCAGTGCCACCTATCAATGCCAGTCAGTGCCGCCTATCAGTGTCATGTGTCAGTGCTGCCTTTCAGTGCACAACAGTGATGACTGTCAATGCCCATTAGTGCAACCTACCAGTGCCTCCTCATCAGTGCCCATCAGTGCCACCTATCAGTGTCCATCAGTGCAGCCTATCAGTGCCTATCACTGCAGCCTCATTTGCGCATATCAGTGAAGGAGAAAAATCACTTATTTACAAAATTGTATAACAAAAACTAAGAAAAAACTTTTTTTCTAAATTTTCAGTGGTTTTTGGTTTAAGAAAAAATAAAAAATCCCCAGAGGTGATTAAAATACCACCAAAAGAAAGCTCTGTCTCAAAAAAATGATAAAAATTTCATATGGGTACAGTGTTGCATGACCGCGCAGTTGTCATTCAAAGTGTGACAGCGCGGAGAGCTGGAAATTGGCCTGGGCAGGAAGGGGGTATAAGTGCCCTGTAGGCTAGTGGTTAAACTAAAGCTGGCCACAGATAGATTTTTTTTTTTTTTTTTTTTGTTAAAAAAATGGACAGTTTTGTCTATTCATACAATTGAGGTGGATGGAGGAATCCTACCAGCAGAGACATTGTCTGCTGACAGCGGGACTCTCCACTGTAAGTGCACACTGATCAGCGGCTGCAGCCACCAATAGAAACATTTTTCCAACAAGCCAATTTGACAGAAATTGATCATTAGGTTGACTTATCAAGCAGAAGCAGCCACATATAGATCAAAATTCAGCAGGTCCCTGCTGAAGAAGCCAAATTTCGATCCATCTCTGGCCAGCTTAATTGAATTTTCTCTTTGCAAACATCATCCAAACATGTGCGAGCAAAAATCAATTTTTTTAAAAGATTTTCTTTGCACATTACTCTTTTACCACATTCACTAAACTAAGTGAATTTTTTTTTTTTTTTCCTTTACTACATAGGGTCAATGTTGCATTTTAAAAAATGTTTAATACCTGGCTAAAGTCCAGCTTTAACACTAGCAAATACTTTCACATCTTTCTGTAATATATCTTTGGTAGATAACTGAAAAACAGTCCAGCTTGAATAAACACTCTGCAGTTCATAAAGTCATACTGGGAGATAAGCAGCCACAATGATGAAAATATAAACTAGTGAACATACACTAATATAACAGACATGAAGTCTGCAGAACCTGATATGCCAACTTTTGATGTTGCCTCCTACCACTTTTTTGTACTTTGGGAGTAATAGGTATATGTTTTACACCAACACAAAAGCAATGAACAAGAAAGGTGTGTGCAAATATTTTTCCTTGTACGTTTCTTATCATTTCAACATATTAATTTTATGCAAATAAAAAAAAACAAGGCCCCTTTCACACGGGTGGCCTGGTCAGGTTCGACTGTCCATTTTTCAAACAGACCCAACCAGATCCTCCATTCTCCTCTATGGGCAGCCGGAAAACAGAGCAGACACAGACCTGCAAAAGTGGAGTAGGCACAGACCTGTCATCTGGCAGTTCCTGTCAGCTGAGCAGGGAATCAGCGGACGAATCCCCTGCTGAGCAAAACCGGATCCAGCCCATGTGAAAGGGGCCTAATTAGTACATTTTAACTGCACATGTTTAGCAGCAGCAGTATGAATGCAGAGCTCACCTGTCTAGAGTCTGTTAGCTTTACAGAAAGGCCCAGATGATCAGCATTGGAGGAAACATTTTAGCACTATGTTTAATTTCATTTTAATATAATATTTATTTATTTGAAAAAGAATATACAAGACAAGGTGTAGACCATGAGTACGAGAAGAAATCACAGGTTGTTAAATATACTATTGTTATGATCTTCAACAAGGTGTACAAAAGGTCAGTAGAAGGTTGTTTTGTTTAGTAGTTACCATCATTAGATTCCAATATGCAACATATCCATTATTTGTGGACAAAGAGTGATGTAAGGTTCAGTAGATTCATAGCACTTGGTTATGCTTCACACAGGGTGGTCATACCAGCAGAGTCCATTTACATCCACTGAGATGAATAGACCGTCTGATCAGGTCAGCCTGAGAAACTCACAGGACCTGATCAGAACAGTCTTGTGAAAGGGGCCTAATGGGGGTTGATTTACTAAAACTGTAGAGAGCATAATCTGGTTCAGCCGTGCATGCTAGCCAACCAGCTTCTAACTTCAGCTTGTTCAATGAAACTTGGTTTCTACGCAGAGATGCACCAGATTTTGAACTCTCCAATTTTAGTAAATCAACCCCACATATTATCCGAATATGTATATGTTAGCTTTTTTTCACAGTTTTCTAATATGTGTTTTTAGGGCTTTTTTTCTCAGAGAATAGGTGCAGAAACTCAACCACACCCCCCCTTCACAGGGCGAACGTGTGCTTAACCACTTCCTGTCCGGACACTTTTACCCCTTTCCTGTCCAGGGCAATTTTCAGCTTTCAGCGCTATCACACTTTGAATGACAATTGCGTGGTCATGCAATACTGTACCCATATGAATTTTTTACTACTTTTTTTTTTTTTTTTTTTACTAATATTGTACTACTTGTGGGGGGGTGATAAAGATTTTAATTTTTTTTTTTTACTACAGTGATTGCTTTTACACCCATATAGGATGTAAAAGCAATCATTTCTCTTTCTCTCTGTCTGCATTCTTGCAGCCATTGAGAAATACTGAGTGAGCTGTGGTTGGTCACAGCTTGTCACATGGTACAAGGCTGTTGTGAATAGCCTTGTACCATGTGACCATTCACAGATTTCACACGTAGTAAGCAATGATGTCAGAAGTGACATCTTGCTTACTACTTTGCATGTGATCACTGATTGGCCAATCAGTGATCACATGATCGGGACCTCGTACAGAGGTCCCGTCCGATGATCGGTGTGGAGGACACAGCGGGCACCGGATCGCGGTGCTGCGCACTCCCAGGGAGCGCGCACAGCTAGAAATGGTGGGTGCTGTTTATGAACGGCAACCCGCCCCTGGAATGCCACCGCAAGTGGTTAATCAAATGGTGGGCGCGGCCAATTGCACGAACAGTGTATCTTAAAGATGCATTGCTAAATTCCAGGAGTGTGTTATGTACAGAGTTCAGAAGTGCTCTACATACAGAATGCATAGTTACCAGCATTTCAAATATCATTCCAGGGAATTTTTTTTAGCTGATCACGCAACAAGTCACTGTAGAAGGGCAGGCATTCATTTAATTATGGAATGTTTGACGGTAGGTGCAGGAAAGGAGTATGGTGTGTATGACTGTGTGTGCAGGAAAAAATGCGATGTGAATGACCGTGTGTGCAGGAAAAGAGTGCGGTGTGTATGACCGTGTGTGCGGGAAAAAGAGTGTGGTGTGTATAATAGTGTGTGCAAGAAGGAGTGTGGTGTGTATGACAGCAAGTGCAGAAAAGGACTACGGTGTGTGTGTGACTGTGTGTACAGGAAAGGAGTGTGGTGTGTATGACAGAATGTGTGCAGGAAAAGAGTGCAGTGTGTATGACGGTGTGTGCAGGAAAGGAGTGCGGTGTTTATGACTGTGTGTGCAAGAAAGCAGTGCAGTGTGTATGACGGTGTGTGCAGGAAAGGAGTGCGGTGTGTATGACGGTGTGTGCAAGAAAGCAGTGCAGTGTGTATGACGGTGTGTGCAGGAAAGGAGTGCGGTGTGTATGACGGTGTGTGCAAGAAAGCAGTGCAGTGTGTATGACAGTGTGTGCAGGAAAGGAGCGCGGTGTGTATGACGGTGTGTGCAAGAAAGCAGTGCAGTGTGTATGACGGGGTGTGCAGGAAAGGAGCGGTGTGTATGACGGTGTGTGCAAGAAAGCAGTGCAGTGTGTATGACAGTGTGTGCAGGAAAGGAGCGCGGTGTGTACGACGGTGTGTGCAAGAAAGCAGTGCAGTGTGTATGACGGGGTGTGCAGGAAAGGAGCGCGGTGTGTATGACGCGGTTTGCAGGAAAGAAGTGCGATGTGTATGACGCTGTGTGCAGGAAAGGAGCGTGGTGTGTAAGACGCTGTTTGCAGGAAAGAAGTGCGATGTGTATGACGCTGTGTGCAGGAAAGGAGCGTGGTGTGTAAGACGCTGTTTGCAGGAAAGGAGCGCGGTGTGTATGACGCTGTGTGCAGGAAAGGAGCACGGTGTGTATGACGCTGTGTGCAGGAAAGGAGCGCGGTGTGTATGACGCTGTGTGCAGGAAAGGAGCGCGGTGTGTATGACGCTGTGTGCAGGAAAGGAGCGTGGTGTGTATGACGCTGTGTGCAGGAAAGGTGTGCGGAGTATATGACGGTGCATGCAGGAAAGGAGTGTGGTGTGTATGCCGGTGCGTGCAGGAAAGGAGTGTGGTGTGTATGACGGTGTGCAGGAATGGAGTACGGTGTGTATGACAGTGAGTGTAGGAAAGGAGTGCCACCAACTTACCTCCTCATACACATCCTGGAACAAACTACTTTAGGTTACATCTCACATGGCAGTATCTTCAAGGCTGGGCAATGAGCTCCCTTGTAACACGTTTCAACATCACCAGTAGAAATACTCCTCCTTCACCTCTGAGCCATCTTTCTGTAGCCAGCACTAGAGGTAGAGCACAAGCATTGCAGAGTGCTGGGAAAGATCAAGGGGCAAAGGAGGGAAGTGAGGGTTCTATGGCGCCTCCGGCTGTCCGAGGAGAGGAGCACTGTCACTTGTAGACAGTAGCCAGGCTTCTGTGTTTTCTCAAATGACAATCGTGAGCAACAAGCACAGGTCCAGTGAAGGGAACTCAATTCCACCAAGTTCCAGCTTCAAAAAAAAAAAGCCCTCTATGTTGTTATATAATCAATTTAGACACACTTAAAAAAGCTAATAAACATATAATAACACTTTTACAGGGCATTAGGGGTCATAGTATGCCAGGACATAACTTTATATATGTGTGTTTTGCTCTGGTTGTTTGGTGTTAAACTAGATAAATAATACTTGAGCATATTGTCATTTTAATATGGATGAAAAAATGGACTATAAATAGAAGTGTGTATTGGAAGTACTGGAGTTTTATAAATACCTGAAAGTACATTTGGAAGCCTTAGGAAATGTTGGGCTGCATTTGCATGGGCCTTCAGCCATGGTGCAAATCCTAGTGGCAGGAACTTACTGATTCCTG